AAAAAGGGGGGGGGGGGGGGGAAGACGCGGTCAGCGGGCTCTTGGGAGCACGTAAGCGTGGTAGCCAACACTTGGATAATTTGAAGCCGGAATGAGCAGATATCATTAGCTCAAAACATTCCAAATCAGCAGGAATCCCACTCAGATGAAATCCAATCATCGGCCAAAATTCTTGATCTATCAGAATGATCGGCCTGTAACAGTCTTCTATGCCAACATCATCCAAGACGGATCTCTCTCCTCGTTACCAGTAACAGGTTCAAGTCGAAGACCAGGTCCCCATCCTTGTTACGCACCAGATTCTTCGTCGAATCTCCGCCGCTGCCGTGCATGAACCGGCGAGCGTTAATTCTCCCAATGCGCTCAGCCCAAGTTGGTCTTTCTTCAACCAGCATGACGAATTGCCACTCCGGCTGTTGCAAGGGGCATAGAAGAATGCCAGTGACGGATTTGCCTCGAAGCGGTGCAAAGTTCTCGCCATCAGCCATCCTGTGCGCGATAGTCAAGATTTCCGCTCTCAAAAAAGCCCTCGTGCCGTCCTTCAATTCTACCTGCGCCCAGACCGTCCCGCTCCCCCACTGAGAGCCCAACTCCTCGCCCAAGCACAGCTCCACGGCGACTGTCCACGCATCGAGATGGATAAAAGGAGAGATCAACTCGGGTTCTTCTCTCAGGTGAGGGTGTGTTGCGAGATCAGACAGAGCCAAGACCGTGCCATCTTGCAGCTCTACTGAGGCAGCAACGCCGGTGTCGAATCCCTGTTCTTCCGGGTTCCATCCTGGCGCCACAGATGCTGAATAGTACACGATTGGGCCAATCCATCCCGACCATGACCAGCTCGGAAAACGTGGCCGTCTCCGGAACCGCGGTGCGAAGGTGGACTGCGGCATCCAACAGAGTCCGTACACGAAGGCGTCCGATGGAGAAGTTTTGATAATCTTTTCGTTCCATATTAAAACGGGCAGTACTCCCCATACATGGTATGTTGGATGTGTCGCTTCCTCAAAAACTTTCAAGATGCCGGAAAATGCACTGATGACGTCGGAAGGCTCGGTGAGAGTTCTTTCCGAATACTCAAAGATGAGGTGTGTGAGATCCCATGCGCCCACTCTCGTTGTGAACGGTAGCGATCCGTCAGGCAAGTTGAGTCTTGTGCCTCCCAATTGATACTGCAGCTTCAAGTGGCGGACTTGAGTGGGCACTGTTTCGGACCCCTCGTCGGCTTGGATGCGGGAGCAGGTGAACCATGCCTCCTGGTCTGTGAATACAAGGCATCGCCGCGAGAGTAACTTCTCCTGGTATGTCCACCCTCTCGTGTTCCACGTTGTTCCGTCAAGGATTTGGAAACGATGCTGCTTTTTCTCTAAAAGCAAGTGGCGGCCTGTGTTAACATAACGTTGTGCTTGCCGAGAGATACTCCCGGCCCCAGGGATGCCGTAATCGGCATTTTCTCCAGCAGCTGCGATGATCGTAACGTCTGCGTTGTAGTATATACGGTCCATCTGCCGTATATACACAATTTTATTTGGGTCGTTTTGATCAATACATAGCTGGTCGACCCAGAGGTAGTTATAGCCGAGTTTCCGAGTAATAGTCGTTGCATCTTCGATCGTTTTAGGCAGTTTCTTCCCGGTACCGGTTACTCCTCCCCAGACGTAACTTAATGCAACGTATTTTGCTCCAGTGGGAGCAGCTTCTACTCGACGAGAGGTGCAGTTCAGGACTAGAAGCTTGTCAACAGGTGTCTCCTGACCTACTCCACAAACATTGCCATGTTCACGTATGCAATGAGTAAGGTATTCCTTGAGCACTTCGAAGTCGATGACAGCCGGTGTTTCAGGCCACCGTATCGACGAGAAGTGGGTTTCCATGGAAGGGTTCAAAAATCTGAAAGTCTCTGAACCAGTTCCACGCGGCCCTTGTAGATGCATTTTTTTAAATGATCCTGTGGCAGGGTTCACCACCCAGAAATCGCCATCGGAATAACGTGAGAGCGACGTTAGAAATGAGCAGAAACCGCAATTTGCATCCATTCGAGATATGTCGGGAACGATCTCAAGGCTGGTTTGCGTTCCGTCCCCTTGGTCGAAATGAGTGCCCAGATCAAAGGTTCTGCACCTAGGGCATATGCTGGAGTTGTTTAAATTGGGAACCACATAGGGCGCCACGAGAGCTCTCCAATCCTTCTGCTCAAGCAAGGGGAAGTAGCTCTTCGGGAAGACTGAAGAAGGATGGGAGCTGTCATCGAGGTCCGAAGCTTTGCGCGAGCCCAGGTACACTAGAGCCATTTGATCCTCAAGGCTGGAAGTCAGCCTAGCGTAAAGTGCCGTAGAAGTCAATCCTCCCTTACAGATGACAGAGTTGCAAGGTTGAGAAGCCCGTACAGAATCGGTAAGAAGGCAGCAGTCGAATCGCGATAAGAGTCTGGTGTATGAGAAGGCTGTGAAATGCACAGAAGTCAGAATCTCCGCGGTGAAAAATGGAGGGTAGGAGGGAGCTAAAGATAACGCGAAGATCAGACCTTTCAGCTTTCAGCTAAGGCAAGAGCGCCACTAATCGGGCAGTGCAAGAGACGTGACCAATCATAGACCTCTATGTAGCGCCACAGCCTTGCATGTTCCACTCCGGGGTATTTCCGCATTTTGTTACACAAGTCACCTGGCTTGTACGCACGGACGTTCTTTATCAACACCAAAGCTCCTCGATTCTTAGACTTGGTTTTACGAAGCGGAGAGGGGAAGTTTTTGAATAAAATGTACATAGAATTATAGAGAAGAGCTGACTTCATAGTATGAGGCTTTTGCAGGAGTTCAAGAGGCCCGTACTAGAATCAGTTCCATACAGGGTTTCGTACAACAATACGAATTCTCCGGTTAATCCCAGTTCTCGTAGGTTTCGTCTCTTCTTATGGTGGCACACCGGATTCGTCCATGAACCGAAAATGCGAAGCGCTATAGTTTATAGGTGAGGTAGATAAGTAGATATGCGCCTTTCAGAACATTGCTGGCCAGTAGGACAGCTATGATACGCTTTGACAGCGTTGCTTGAAAGCTTTTCGTAAAATATCTGTCATAGCCTTCACCCATTATGTAATAATATGCTAACTTCCAGCAGTATCAGGTATCATATCTTACTAAAAAGACGTAATCTGGGAGATGTGCTCGTAGCTTTCCCAGTGGACGCAGCAATGTGCCTTCATGGCCAAGAAAATGCTGATGGTTGAGAGATAGGCGTACTCGGCAAGATATTGAAGAGACATACCCACACAGATATGTTCCCCGGATGGCCATGTTGTTAGAACGTCGATGGGAGGTTCGTGTATTGTCTAGTCTCGCGGGCGAACCAGAAGTTGCCTCGGCCTTAGTTCCGTTGGGTATTCGACACCGCAAGGGGTATTCTTATGGCACAGACAAAGCCCAGGAAGAATATGACCTATACAATGTTAGAATATTATCCCAGCTTATTTCTTTAGGAAAAGAAAACTCGCGAAACGAACAGAGAAATAGCAGAACTTACCGCGGCAGCATAAAACGGCAACCCCATCCAGCCCTTCACCCACCACGACCCGGATCCGCCTCCTCCTTCTCCACCCCCCGACGACAGCCTCGTCCCCAGCCCAAACAGCGCTGCAAACGCCATCTCCCCCGTCAACACCGCGATCAGCTCCAACAACGCAATTCCCGCATAAAGCTGTCCCATCCTACTCCCAGTCCCCTCGCCTTCTCTCGTTGTCCTACTCTCCCTTTCCCCCTCACCATCACCACCATCACCCCCCGCCGCCGACCGCGGCCGCTGCGCAAAATGCGCCACCAACCCCCTCATCGTCTGCGTAATCCCATTCCCCACACTCGCCAGCACCAACCCGACCACCACCAGCGCGACCGCCATACCCTGTTCCCCTCCTCCTCTTCTTCCCCCACTCCCCCCACCACCACCAAACACACTCGCCCACCCCACCATCGCACTCCCCGCCGCCAAGCACGCCAGGCTCCCGCGCGCCACCCACGTATCCACCGCCACGGCGGGCACGCGTCGCCTAGCCGCCGCCGCGCCGGCGAGCGGCAGGACGAGGAGGACGAGCAGCGACATGAAGGCCTTGACGGAGAGGAGGTAGCCGGCCGAGGCGATGGGCCAGCGCAGCGTGCGGGAGGCATATTGCAGGTAGAGGTGGTAGGACATCAGGGCGAAGGTTTTGAGGAAGATGGTTAGGAAGCAGAGGAGGAGGGGGGTGGGGGCCGGGGCGTGCGTGGGGATGATGTGGAGGAGGGTGAGGAGGGTTGTCTTTAGCGGTTAGTCAGTGAGGGAAGGTAGGAGGAGGGGGGGCGCACCTTGGATTTGGTGGCGAGGCTGGTGGAGGTGGTGGAAGGAGTTTCGCTGATGACGCTGTCGTGGCGGTCGCGAGGGGCGGCGCGCGGAGGAGCGGTTTCGGGGAGGCAGAGGATGATGGGGAGGGAGGTGAGGAGGATGGGGGTACTGATTTTGAAGGGGAGCCAGAGGTCTCGTGAGAGGAGCCATGAGCCTCCGGCGGCGGAGACCATATCGGTTACTCTGATCAAGGCGCCAACAAGGTAGAAGGTTGAGGTCCTGGTAGATGTATATATCAGTATGAGTGCTAAGTTAATTGAAAGTAAGGAACCTAAGTTGCGAGACGTCTCTTGCAACTTCAGAGAACAGTCTTTGGTCTTGGGCGATCAAGGACGTTGTGAAAGCTTCTGAAAGGCATCGACGAATGAAACAAAATGAAAAGACTGCAGTGGTACCTGGCATATTCCGGAGCAACATCAACAATCACGGTATTCATGAGTGCTGAGATGTTACGATGGCCACCTCCCATGAGTTGGAAGATGGCTGATGCCCAAACAAGTCTGGTTGGGAAGACCTCGTGAAAGTAGCCTGTCATCGAAATCTTTCAGCAATGCCTCAGTCCTAGGGTGGAAATTCTCACAGATCAGAATGACCCAGAGGTAAGTCAGAATCTGGCCTGTCATGCCCAGCAACAGAATCGGCTTACGGCCCCACAGATCTGCAAGTCTTCCGAAAAGGACGGTACAAAAGAGACCTGCAGGCACGAGTCAGTTGTACTCCACAAACCTCGAGTCCCATATGCCCGCTGGCACAGGTACGCACAGACAAACTGCCGAAATAGGTATGAAAAAGACAGCAGCCAAGCTTTCCACAACTCAGAATACAGAACATACCAGGAATAGCAGCAAACAAGCTCTTGAGCGCACGCAGATACGCCAACTCAACCTGTATTTCGTCGCGCTTGCATAGTTCCTCGCGCACATAGTTCAGCGGTGGAGGGCCGATGACGCTCGGATCGCGCGTGCGGTAGTAGTCTCTGCAAACCGCCATCTCCAGCAATCGCACTTCGGGTGCCGCAGTCAACCCGTCTCCAAGGTCCGCGACCAGCGAGAGCGCACCACATAGCACTGCGGCGTACGGCCAGAAGCGGTGGCGGCCGTGGTGGTGGTGTCTCTTCGCAGAGACTTCGCCGGGCGGTGATGGCCCGGAGGTCCGGGGAGAAAACTGCTCTTCCTCACTCCGTTGCGACGACGCTTCAGATGGCGATTCTGAACTACTTGCGTCTGAGTAGCGATGCTCTTGCCTTCGGGCCAGCGCCTCGGCAAGAAGTGGCGTCGTCTCCCCGGCTTCGTCTTCGAGGACGGCTGCGGATGATGCGAAAGGCTTCATTTTTCCGACATGCGAACGCCGCGAGTGTGTCAGAATAATTGCATGGAGAGAGATGGCAGAGGTTTCTTATCTGCAAGGTGAGTTTTACCCCTCATTCCTGCAGCTGCTTAACTTCGATCTTCTGCTTTGGGATATCGCACGCTAAACCGTTGTAGCACTAGCAGTATGTATACTTCCGTCGAATGAAGCCTCCCGGCGGCCCCTCACCCTGACTAATAAGCTTGAAGGCCGGTTTGTGCGACCGCATCCCCCGTGTGAGCCATATTTACCAAGTAGTTCGAGCAGTGACAAATTGGTACGTACAGAACATGGTGACGATAAGTTCGATATGTGCCTCTCCCTCGTGGTGTTGCTGGACTAGAAGAAACGCCATAGCGGGGACGCGACCGTTGGAAATGACGCCCCCGCTTACCAATTTTAGTGTGCCGTTTTGTGTCTCGCTGTCTTGGAATCGCCACCAATTTGTTCCCCGCACTGAATGCACCCGCATCTATCATACTGAACCATTCCCACAATCTGGAACACCTTCTAAACATCGCGTTTTAAGGTTTGCCTGCCTCGATAAACATTAGAGTACCACCCAAGCCAAAAACAATACCAGCGACCTTCTCGTCGGGATCAGGTTTGGCGCGTTCCGCAAGATGACACATGTGATCGCTCTCGGGCGGCCCCGCTTTAGCTACTCACTAGCAACGCATGGAAGAAACCTTGCTCCAACCTCACGCATGCACCAGCCATGTCCGAGCACTCTGCTGCGACCTCAGGCAGCAAAGCAGTAGCGGCGAATAATAACCATCCACGGTGAAGGTCGTTTTTCTTTTCCCCTGTTAGTGCCTATTAACCTCCCGTGACAGCTTTAACCAGCATTGCAATAGACCAGCCCGCCATCTTCAATCCACAGATAAGGCATTGCTAGTGCGGAGACTATGTCTTCGCAATCGAATTGGCTGCTCAAAGAGGTAAGTATATTTGCAGATGAGAAAACCCAATAAGCACAGGGAAAGCGATGTGAGCTGGCGCATACCGTCGATAAGCAATGACAATCCGGTTGTAGGGTGAGGTCTTTTCTCAAGCACACTACAAGTCCCGAAGAGATTTGTGGATGCCAGACTAAATGAATCCCGTTGGGTGAAATAGATAGACAATTCAACGTGATTGGTACCACGCTCACGCCCTCCCGGAAAACAACGCAAACGCAACGACGCCCGGCTTTAGAGCTCCAAGCCATGAACCAGCCTAACGGCGAACCAACAACGTGTCAGCACGTAAGGCGTCATCCGCGCGGCAAATTTTGTACGATGGAAATCAAAGGCCGCAGTCTAGATAAGTCAGAGGGCCGTGCCTAGCTGAACACACATCACTGCTTCACCTCCTCCATCCTCTGCAATCTATCACCCCTCCAGCTAGCATTAAGAACATACTTCTTCAAATAGCCGTATCGCAACCACGATGGCTCTTATCAGGGGACCACACGAACAACAAATGGCTGTGACTAGATCATCGAACCAGCCACTCGACCCAGCCGCAGCAGCGATTGTGCAGCAAGCTTGCTCGACAAACCAAGTTTCGTCAATAAGGGCCCATTACACCTATCCCCAGGGATCAGCTGAGTATGAAATCAAATTTGTTGATTCTCATTCCAGGCCCACGCACTCGGTGAGAAGCCCGGTCAAGCTGTTTACAGTCGACGAACGTTGACAAATCGGTGTAGACCACGAAATACGAGGATGGGTGGGCATGGGAGTGGGACGGCGGGAGGAACATGTGGCGTAGGTGGAGCAAGTATCGAGGATGCTGAAAGTACAAGGACGGCTCGCGTCTCTTCCCTTGAGAATAGCCGAAGCGATGAACTATGAGATGTAGCTAGTGTCACCCAGAATGAGATATTCACACTTACTAAGCAACGAATTTCCTTCGAGTCTTGCCCAAGTCGGAGATACGCTTGCTATGACGGCAATAACCAACTCTGAAGCTGCATAAGCGCCTCAGAGGTCCACGCTTTCTCAGGCTCGTAGCATCCCACCTACCACAGCAGCGCCTATTTTTCCCGCACAGGTCGCTCGGATTTCTCATCCGCATCAGCCCCCGACCCTTTGTCCATGGCCTGTGCCGTCCGCATGATAGGCAGCCGCGCGGTCAACATCTACGTCTGGAGTAGTTGCTCAATAACGCAAAGAAGACTCTGGCTGATAGAGACTTCGATGCATCCAATTGATCGAGCAAGACAAAGTAGCTGTGCTGCTACTCCTCGCTCACGCTCACAGTCAGCCTTTTCAGGCAGCAATGCAAATCTACTTCCGTAAGCCGCCACCCAGTCAACAGTAGACCAATAGCAGGCAAGCATGTGAAACATCAGTCGTAATTTGCATGCTGAATGCTAATAACTATAGGCCAGATAACTATGACAAATGAGTCCTCTTGAACCCTCGCTTTGAATTTCATCACCATGCTGTTGCGTGGTCTCGGGTTCAAAGTGCGGCGATGAGAGTTGTGCTACCTTTGTGGTGAATGGAGTGGTTCATATCGGTAAGAATTGGTCAGGGAATGAAGGATTCTCCATCAAGATGGAGGTCCTTCCCAAGGTGCCCTCGTCCAGTCTTCAAAATCGTTGTCGTCATCCTGGTAGTCGGACCAGCCATCGTCAAACCGATCTCCGTTGAGCCAGTCTTCATCGAAGTAGTCGCGAGGAGGAGGAACGTAATTCCACTGATCCAAAGTCCGATTCTGATCGTCACTCCATGGAGCTTTTGCCCTATCTGGGCCTTTGGGCTGATAGTCTGGTTCCCGAGATGCCGCGACGCGCTTCTTGGTTTCTTCAGTGACCAGGTCTTGCCACCTGAAAGTGGTGTTGGACCAGAACCTATCCCGCAGCTCAGGGAGGTAGCAGACATCACCAGCGCAGTAAGAAATGATTTCTTTGGGGATGGGGCGCTGGTTGAAAACCTCATATGAACCACCATGTTCTGCTTTGAACAACTTCTTCCCTTTCTCCTTTGCCAACTTCCAGTTTTCTAGGTCGGGGAGCCCGTAATTTTCCTGAACACACTTGGCTAGCCCTTTCAAAAACTTCCTGGATGCCGTAGTCCTCCTCTTAGCACTCTCCATAAGTTGAACATCCTCCACTCCCCGCAACCTCACACCGAAATGCGCAAATAAGGCATCCGAATCGTTGCGAGCGTCGAAGAAGACCTTTGAGATTTTGTCGTCTTCAAGAATATCCTTCAGCGTCTTCATACGTACGCCGGCGGTGTTAAACACCAGGGCGCCCAGTGAGTGCACATCAAAGAGGTAGACGCATCTGGTCGGGGTTCCCACATCAACCATGAGGGTAAAGATGGAGATAGAGCCCTCACGGCAGAGGTTTATGCCTTCGAGATCGATGTACATGCTTGGCGAGTATGAAAACGGCTTTTCATGAACCAAGACGAGCCGGTCGACCACCTCACCGATTTGCTCCACCGTGTTGATAATCTCCGTCTCGATGCGCATCATACTCAGATACTTTCGAGGAACGGTGCGCTCTAGCAAATAAGGGCGGCGGCCGGTTTGAAGATGGATTGGTTGCGGTCAGTTGTACGGAAGTGACACCAAAGCGACCTATCGCTTGCTGTTCGTCGCACGCGTTCAGAAGTCGCCAGCGGGACCCAGGTGGCGTTTATGTGTTTTTGCAGATGCTCTTCGGCGGTGGGGATGGTGACTGTCGACGCTCTGTTGCGTGCCAATTCGATTGAAGGCCAGTAGTGGCACAAATAATGCTAATCAGACACAATGGTAGCGGGAACTAACAGCTTAAGCCCTGACCTCTAAACGCTCCATGTTATACTTATATGTCTATTGGTCTATGAAACGTGGCCTGTTTTCCACTTTGTTTGCTTTTCACGCATTTCCCCAAGCCCGCCCTGCAGATCAACACCTTCTCGCGGATAGACCCAAATGTTTCTGACTTGCACACATTTCGGTAGATGCAGAGCTATGTGTATTAAATTGGATCAGATTCACTTTAGGGAAAAGAACGCAAATCCCTATAAGTTAGATAGAATTGTAGACGTATTGCAGACCTAAAACTGTACTAGTCTTCGTTCCCTCCCCCATAACGCCTTTGAGAACTCAGGGCCCCAAAGGAATGATCTTTGAGTGCGTTACACATCATGCCTCATAATAACAGGGGACTGTTGCATTCCTGGATTATGTTGAAACGCCAAAAAAGCTCAAAATCGAACACATGCTCGTTGGAGTGTGTCTTTAAGCCGAATTTTGCTCATCATTAGCAAATTGCGGTAGTCAATTACACATTTATCCTATGTTGTGGTTTTTTTTTCCGCGACCCAACGTTTAATGATTGAGCTTGCTATCTCAAAACGGGTCTTAGTCTCAAGAAAGACTCGGAGGGTTAAAACATCTGTGTGGGTAAACGGGACGACATTCCTTGTCGTAGACGTTTTTATTTGGACTAGTTGCTCCAATGTTGCCAATCGTACACAGCGCTACCAGCGTCTGGAGTATGCGGCGGCGGGCGTCAACAGTAGTGAGTAGCCAGCGTCAGGGACGAGTTCCACCCTCAAGATGCTGACTGCCATCGCGCGGACGTCGCGGGCGTTGCGCCGCAAGGGGACCTGGGCCATATGGGCGGAAAGGGCAGCGGGGCGGGCATAATTGCCTACAAACTGTGCAGAGCGGGAGACGCGCAGGGGGCACAGGGAGTGAGGGTTGGCAACGCCAGGGTGGGGCTGCTGGTGGAATGGAGAAGTGCGGGGTCCCTGTGTCCTCGCCTTCTTGGCACACAACAGTTCTGCAGGACGAGGTTCTGGATAATTGGTAAGGGGGAGGCTGGGCCTGATTCAGGGAGTTTGAGCTGTTTTAGCGCCGGATTAGAGGACAAATCAAAAGGCAAAGGGGCTTCGGGCGGAAGAATGAGGACAATCCAGGCTTAGACGCTCCGAGCAAGATGCTCAAGATTTCATATGGCGGAGATCTGGGGCTAAGACGATTTGTTGGATAGATTACAGTGGATCGGATGCGCTATGAATGCGGGCAGAACCAGACGGGTGGGTCTTGTCGGACTGTGTCTACAGCTTGATGGTACTTAGCGAGCCGGACGACGGGCATCACCGTAAAGCCTAGCTCATCGGATATTAACGGAATATGCAGAGTGGTGGTGGGGCCGATGGCTAGCGTAAGGGTACCTCGTTTCTCTCATTTCTTTTTTTTTTTTGCTCTTTTATTGAATGAAAAAGGACACATACGGGCAGTTGAGGCTCTCATCTAGATTTAGATGTGGAATTTAGAATTATATATTCATGTCCAGACGCGGGCTCCAACTGCCCATGGCATGAGCGAAAATAAATCCAGGCTATCGTTGACTGCAATATTCCCTGTAAAGTTCCATTTGCCGACTCGGGCGGTAAGAGTTTAGGGCATACCTGCAGCATTGATACGAGATTGGCGCTGATTTGCTGAGAAAGGATGCTTAGGTGGCTGCCTGGGCTTCCTGTGGCTGATAAGGAAGATCGCGGGGCAGCGTGAACGTGAAGTGCGCCAATAATAAGGGTTGTACCGCAGCTGGATGCTGTTGGAGTCTCCGAGCCGTCCAAAAGTTACGAAACATTAAGATGCACCATCAAAATACAGCTGAAGCAACGAAAACAACGACCAGAGTTCGTGTGGCGAGGCGATACGCTGCGCAACGCCTTTCTCGCTTCCGCATATCCTGTTCACCAATAGCGATGGGCTTACCAACGGAAAAGCAGGCAGACGCTCACTCAGCCCCCAACCCCACTTTTACTGAACACGTCTCGTGGTTCATAGGTAAGGTCGTTGCAGCCTTACCCTCATTTACTTCATCTTCGTTCTCCCACTGAACTTCATTTCTTTGGTCTCTGGATTAGCGCTGCTTTGGTCTCGAAATGGCGAGCGATGGATATCGGAATTTCAGGCTCCGAGGAATACCAGAAAGCTTTCAGAATCGCAAACAGGTGTGCGAGCTTGTTAGAACTGCGCTCCGGCTCGAAGAAGACGCGGAAATCGCGGTACACTCGCTTGCAAGAAACCCTCTCGAACGTTGCAGCAGGATTGCAACCTTAACATTTGAGAACAATATACCAAATGTTCTCGAAGGACCTCAAACGGAATGGATATTTACCGTACCGGGCTCCGATGAAGACGAGGCTGAGAAGTGGGGGCCACAAAGACTCGTATTCGACACGCATTTCCGAGGTTTTACACCACTTCACCGTGCTGACGATAGCGAGTGCTCGACTGAGTAAGTTAAAACTTTGCTGTATGCGCCTTCTGTCCTACTTACTTTGCTATCAAGTCTCATAGCCATCTCCGGTCTCGCTGGCCATGCATTCGGCTCATTCAAAGCAAGGGGAAGCAGCTTCATGTGGCTTCGCGATGATTTGCCTGTTCGGCTACGACGAACAAGGATTCTGGTCTATGGTTATGACACGAAGGTTGTTGCCAGCAGCTCTTTCCAGAACTTGAATGATCTGGGAAACATGTTTCGGTACAGCGTCAAAAGATTACAGCTTGGCTCATCAGTACGCGAAGCCCTGCATGCGAATTTATTCCAAGCTTACTCATTCACAGGCGTGCTGTCAAATACGTCCTACCATCTTTCTTGGACACAGTCTTGGCGGCCTGGTTGTAAAAGAGGTCAGAGCTGATTCTTTAATGGAAGAAATATGCTGATGAAAGTTAAAATGTAGGCCATAATGAGGATGAAAGGGTCTAAGAAGGTAGAAGACAGGGAGTTTTTGGATAATATCATCGCCTTCATGTTCTTTGGGGTCCCTCACCAAGGAATGGCAACCGAGCATCTTTTTCCAATTGTCGGCGAGCAACCTAACCGAAGCTTGATCCAGTCTCTCGGGAAGCATTCTGCTATCCTCCAGCGCTATGAAGAAGAATTTTCCGAAGCCTTGGACACGAAAGAACCACGACCTGAGATTCTCTCATTCTACGAGACAGAAATGTCTCCGACGGCCAAATTTGTAAGCTTGCAACACGGATTTTTTTTTCAGCATGTACTATACAGCTAATTAGAAATAGAATGAGGAGAAACGTGTCTGGGAGTTTGATGAATCCAGACTCGCTGTACTAGTCGACAGATCGTCTGCAACAAATGGTTGTACACCTGGTTGTGCGATAGCCCGGAACCACTCAGAAATGGTCAAATTCACCAGCGAGATGGACGAGATGTATGATATCGTTCTCGCTTCGTTGCTTCCATTATTGGATGGACATAGCAGTTAGTCATCAAAATTAGAATCCTTGTTGAACATCTTTAACGGTCGATAGTTACGTCGAAGCCTTTGTCGGAAAGCCAAAAAGGTATGAATACGAGTAGCACAAGTTATGAAGCCTAACTGGAAACAGGATGTCTCAAATCTCTGTTTTTCAATGAACAGAACTTCAGGCAAGCTGAAATCCATGATGCCGATAACACCTGCGCATGGCTCCTCGATGACCCTCATTATCGGAATTGGATACGCCAGCCACGTGGACTTCTTTGGATTAAGGGAAAGCCCGGAGCGGGAAAATCTGTACTCATGAAGTACGCCTGCGAAAAATTGAGAGATCAATCCTCCGGTTCAAGAGAACTAGTGTCATCGTTCCATATCCACGGACGAGGCGTCGACCTCCAGAAGAAGATCGCTGGAGTGTATCGCGCACTTCTGCACGGCCTCATTCCACATTTCGACAATGTTCTCTCTCAAGCTACTCTCTCTTTCGTTGAAAGGGAGTCACGTTACGGGTCCTACAGTGAGGGCAGGTGGGAATGGGCGGAAAAAGAACTCGAAAATTTTCTCCTCCAAGTTCTTACGCACACATCGGCAAAGCAACGCATCGTAATCTTCATCGACGCTTTAGACGAATGTGAAAACGACGCCCCCATCAAACTATTGACTTGCCTTAAGCGATTCGGAGAAAGTATTGAGCAACAGAGCTCTTATGCCAAAATCTGCTTCTCTTCCAGACACTATCCTATACTTGGGCAGTCACACGTTCCAACCATTGTAGTCGAGAACGAAAACCGAGAGGATATCCGTCGAGTTATGGAAGAGACACTCAAAGTCATCGAGTCCGACGAGGAACGTCAGCGGGTAGTGGATGTGATACTTTCGAAAGACGACGGGGTATTCCAATGGGCTGTCCTTGTTGCTGATAAGGCTGTCAAAAAATACCTAAAAGGCTTCGGTGTGCGGGGAATCGAACGAGAAATCGAAAAACTTCCCACGGAGCTGGACAGCCTCTATGCAGGGCTATTGGACGAAGTCAGTGAAGACGAAAGTGAAAAGATCCAGACAATAAAGCTCTTTCGATGGGTCTTATTCGCTTGTCGGCCCCTTTCTGTTCTGGAACTTCGCGAGGCGCTTGCAACAGATCCACACGTCTCGTACGCCACGATATCAGAACTCCGCGAGCATGACAACTATGCAAAACCAGCTGAAAGATTCGAGAGAAGAGTCATCGACATGTCCAAAGGCCTC